AAAAAATAAGTTTGAAAGAAAAAAAGACCTAGACATAAGAAAAAAAAAAAAAAAAAAAAAGAGGAGCCACAAACCTGAAGTCCCCTTTCGCCTAAGGCGGAACCAGGCAACCCCAGCAGCAACAATGGCCACAAAAGCAACCCCAGAGAGCAGGGCCACGATGATCTGCATCACTGAAGCACTGCTGGACTTTGACTCTGGGGAAGACAAGACTTTAGGACAGGCAGTACTGCCCACCCTCCCCTCTTCAGGCTCTCCCCAGCTTCTCCCTGGAGCTGTCCTGTATCTGGTTCACTCCCAGGTACCACACCCACTTCCTCCCCAACCTCATCGGCTTAAGGTTTCTGTGACTAGACCGAGGCTTCCCCCAAACCCAACTTCTCCTCTCATCTAATGAAAGCACATGCTTGCGTGTGTAGGGGCAGAGGGGAGGGCTCCTGTTAGGCCTCAGGAGCAGCCTGAGGGTGGGCCTGAAGCCCCCCATCATCGGAGTCCCCACCTCCATTGTATCCAGCCTAGCTGTGAACTATGGAACAAGGCATGCCTTCGAGAGTAAATGGGAGTAATATGAGCTATAAGAAAGCAGGCAATTGGGGCCTCCCTGGTGGAGCAAGGGGTTAAGGCCAGCACTGTAGGGCTTTCCACAGCCATTGCAGCAGCCTGAGTGCCATCCCAGGCCAGGGAGCTGACCCACATGGTGCAGCAGACCTCTCTTGCCCTCTTTTCTCCTCAGCAATGCATTTTAGTGGATTTGCCTGTTCTGTTCCCCACTCTGTATCAGGTGAATCCTCTCACTCCTGTACCCCTGGCCTACACCCCAGTTCTTGGAAGCATAACTAAATAAAGAAAAAAAGAGAGCACTTAGAAATGCCCAGGAGTTTCAGGGCACTCTATACAAGGGAGCGCGTGCTGCAGCTGGTCTTAGTATGTGGCCTGCTTTCTAAGTGGGGAAACAGCGTAGTCACCTCTCATCTGGAGCTGAGGGCTCTGGCCCTGGCTCCTGCGCCCTGGCCAAGACTTAGCAAGACCCATTCTTGTTCTCTCTGTCCCAAGGCCCACGTTTACTCCCCTGGCATTTCTAGGTCTCCTGAAGCCTTAGCCATAATTGTCCACCCTCTTCTCTCCCGAACTTATATCTCACTTTGAATAACGATGGCCACAGACTCTGATGTGTACGAAGTCCTCCCTATGAAGCCCGTGCAGTAATATTCGCCACTGTGACTCAGGTTGGCATGTGGAATAGAGAAGTTCAAGTTCTGTTGGAAAAACTTCAAGGCTTTTTTGTTATGGAAGTATGTAATCTTGATCAGAGGCTTGTTTTTCCAACTGTGGCACCTCAACATGATGGGGTTCCCCTCTTGGAACACTCGGCTGGAGGTCTGGAGCAGCAGCCAGTCTGAAAGACACAAAGGGGATACGAGGTCCAGGAGGTCTGGACTCCACTGTGAGACCCAGGTTACTCTTACTGGTATGACATGATGTCGGAGGGAAAAGCTTGAGTTTGGAATCTGACTGCCTGGCCCTGCTTCTGGCTCTAGAGTCTTGAGTATTTTAATTTTCTCATCCGTGAAAATTTTCTCAGTTTTCTCATCTCATTTTATCCAGGACAATAGGCAGCTACAGTTGTTCCTACACATAGTAGGTGTTCAGGATAAGCTTGCCTTCTTTCTTCTGCCTTGTCCAGTTGGTCACTGCAGGGAGCATACAAGAGACCCCAGGGGTGCAGTCAATCCCTGGGCAAGGGAGGAATTTAGCCCGACAAAGAGAGAACATGTGAGGAGACTAAGCAGAGACATATGTCCATGTGGATATTAGAAATCATGGACAATAGATATTAGTTTATTTGATGAAGTTAAATCTGGAGATTTGCCTAAGTGTCTGAAGCCTGTGGTGCCATTTGTGAGACATTAGCCTTCTGTGTACTTCCCACCCCTTCCCTGATTCTCACCCTTTTACTGAGGAAGACAACTTTCCAAATACTTTTGTTGAGTATGGCCTCTCTGGTGGGGCAAGGGATTAAGGCTCAGCACTATCAAGCTATCTGCAGCCACTGCAGCACCTGAATTTAATCCCAGATCCCTGGCTGGCCAGGGGGCTGACCCACATGGTGCAGCAGACCTCTTCTGTCTTGCCCACTGCTCTCCTCAGCAGTGTATTTCAGTAGATCTGCCTTTTCTGCTCCCCACTGTATCTCTGGTAAATCCTCTCACCTGCCCCCACCCCCACCTTTAGTCTCTATGCATATATAAATCTTAAAAAAAAAACTAAAACTACTTTTGTTGGATAGAAAACAGTCTAAGCTGGCTGATTCAGCCCTCAGTTCCATGTGCTTCTGTTTCCTGAGGTGAGAGAAGAGAACTGGACTTGGAATGGCCAGGTGGACAACTTGTAGGGGAGCTGTGGGACACAGAAGGAATGTTCTATGTGGGTCTCAGCTTTCTGCTAATAATACCTGGGGGCACTCACTTGGACCCCAGTGAGATTGCCATAGACATTTCACCTTTGGAGTCAATATTACAATTGGGCCAACTCTTGGGGCTCTTCTTGTGATTGCAAGGTGCCCTTGAGCAATAGCCATAAGGAAACAGATTTACTATTTACCAGATCTGGACATTAAATGACACATCCGGGTCACCATAGGTCACTGGTAGAAAGAAAGAGTTTGTGAGGGCCTTGAGTCCTCTTTTAATGGGGCTGAGGGTGAGGAGCCTGGTGTTCACTCTTTACTGGTAAGTTTAAATCATAAGAGTGGGAATTGAAAGCAAAGAAGAGAGAGTAAAGAAAAAAAAAAGAAGAAGCATAATCACCACCAACTGGCCAGTTACCCAATCAAGCAGGATCCGTAAGACAACTGCCCAGCTCTTCTCTTCTCCTGGACAGGTAGTGGTTGCTGGAACTAGCCCATTCTTGGTGGATGTGTCAGAGCTAAGTCAGGCACTTACATCACAAAAAGAAAAGTCAACTGTCTAGGTTTACAACCCAGAGTGACAACAGTACACATGCCAGTCAAACATTCACAGTCCCTGCAGCAAACCAGACTCTCCTGGCAAGAGACCCCACCATGGATGTAGGAGAAAATGTTCACCACTGAGGGAGGGAATGACAGCAAAGAGAAAACTAGGGGTCACTGGTTCAGTGGGACAAACCTAAGGAAGAGAGGGAGACCAGATCACTCTGCTTGTGTCATACAGCCAGGTAAAACCCTCTTTCTTCTCTTGGGAGGCCTGCCTCTGCACCCCCAAACTCCTTGCCTTATTCTTCTTCTTGGGAAACTGAGGTTCTGGGGAGGACTCCTCTCCAGGATAAGGCTCAGCCATGCCAGTGGTCTACACTGCCTGAGGTAAAGATTGGGTGAGGGTAGGTGGGAGTGTGTGTTTGTGTGTGGGAGGGGGTGACACAAGCTATGCAACTTATATCGACTGACAAATTCTGGATAGTAAAGGAAAAGCTCTGAAAAATCAGAATTTCACTGTTAACTTTTGTTCCAACCTCCTTTTTTTGTATAATCATAATATCAAAATATTCTGAGCCTTAGCCTCATAAGGCAGCTGTCTGGTCCAGGCAAGCTGCTCTAGGTTGGGAAATTCCTCTGTTTCCTGAGACAAAAGGCAAGCCCCAGGAGAAATAAGACCCCGGGGCATAAAAACTCCTGGGAAGCTTCCTTGGCTTCTTTAAATAAAAGCAAATTTCAGATAAGACTTCCAGGACATAAGGACTCATGGACAATTTTTAACCTTGTTTACACAGGATACCTTCCCATCTTAGGGCCCTGCCTGTCTCGATTCTGGACACCTCGATAGTTGGGGCTGGTCCTCAAAAGAGGGGGAGTTGTAAAGATTTTTAAAATACAGTAGAATGCAGAGAAAATGTCAAAACTCAGTTCTTATACTTCTCTTTCCAGCCTAAGGAGTTCCCTCTACATGAAATTTATACCATCAGAACAGTTCTCTCTTTCTGCAAAATCTCAGCAGGTCATGCCCAGAGAGTGTGGGAGCGTCTGTTTTAAGCTAGTTTGTGCCAGAGGGTGGCCTTAGGTCTCCTTGAGGACACCTAATATAGTGCAAAATTTGAAGGCAGGCCACAGCCTGGACATTTACAAAACATCCTTCTTTAAGCAGGCCTTCCCGACAGTAGAACCAGACTCCTGCAATCTCCTGGCAGCCCCCAGAGACACAATACAATCATACCCCCTGCATGCCACATGCCAAGATAGGGCAGGGGACGGGAATACAGGGTGGAAGCCCAGCAAGGCCAGTACCAGTGGAGCCGAATGGGAGTCCCAGTCCCACGCCCAGCTTGGGTGAGCGCAGAGCTTCACCATCACTGGCATGACCTGAACCCCAGCCTGAGTCCTTTGGCCAATGTGGCTCTTCCCCTGGGTCTTGGCACAGTGCTGTAAAGGACCTGCACTGAGCCTGGGCTGCTGAATGTGAGCATAGTGTGCTTTCTAAAATGTTCAATTTTCCTCCTCTTCAGCCAGAACCGGAGGTCAAGCTCTCATTGTACCCTTAATGCACAGCCTCTTGGGGCCCTTGAAACTGCTCCCACCCCAGCGCCTGCACGGGTCTGCTTGGCTTGACTGTCCACCCAGAGGAGACAGTGCCTGTCCTCACTCAGTCCTATCGGAAGCCCCATCTATAGTGACTCGTCAGATTCTTTCAGTAACAGAGGAAAAACCCACCCAGGAAAGTTCTGCTCTTTCTAAGATCCCAACACCTTTGTTACCTGGATAATAGAAGGTTTCGGGCCCTCCCCGGTGGCACAATGGATTAAAGTGCAGCACTACAATGCTATCTGTAGCCACTGCAGCACAAGTTCCATCCCCAGCCAGGGAGGTGACCCACATGACACAGCAGACATCTCCTGACTCACCTGCTGCTCCCCTCAGCAGTGCATGTCATCTATCTGACTGTTCTGCTCCCCACTCTGTCTCTGGTGAATCCTCTCACCCTCTGCACCTCTGGCCTGTACCCCAGTTCTTGTATGCATAAATAAATACATCTTTATAAAAAAAAAAGAATACAAGGTTTCGCAGTGGTCTGTGGGGGTTGAGTTACGACCATTGTTTAGAGACTGTGGTTAGTGTCAGAGATGGTGAGAGCTGGGGCTATGGCAGCTAGCTTCTTGCATGGGAGACAAGGGACCCGAGCAGTTCTGCTTTCTCCCCAGGACCGCTCTTCCCCTGAGCATCCTGTGTTCTCAGCTGCTGGAGGCGCCTTGCTAGGAAGCACTAAACCAGACTTAGCCTTGTGTTGGACAGCCAGTGTCTGGGGTTTGCCCAGCCAGTGCACAGATTGCATGTAGGAAGTATCAGGGACCGGGCATGGAGACTGAGGGACATCATGTGACCGTTGTGACTACTGCTGGGTCACCGGGGGCTTGTGGCCATATGGAGGGTGTTGGAGGCCCACCTGGCCTGCTGTAGACTTTTGAGGAACATTTGGGAGTCAGGAGAGGGAAAGGAACTAAGTGGAGTGTCCCAACGATAGTATTTGTCACAATCCTGTCGAACTTTTCTGTCAGGAGTTTTGTAAAAAAAACATCAGTCTGTTTGGCAAAGCTTCTTTAAACCCTGCCCATGTCGGGGCTGGAAATACAGGGATGGCTTAAATGCAGCTTTCTCCTCAGGGTGCACAGATGGCAGGTGTAAGTTTCAGGCACCAGCCAAACACAGGCATAGGGAAGGAGTTGTCCTGAGCAGAAGCAGCTATTTGGGAGCAACAGCCTCATGACTTTATTTCTCACCACCGGTTAACAGCTAAAGCAAGCCCAAGCAGAAAAATAAGTTCCAGTTCCCTGTCAAAATTTTCCAACTGGTCATCTAGGCCTATGAAAACTCCTCTTACCCTACCCTCAGTGTGATTTCTCTGACCTCAACTCTCCATGGGGTCAGTTAACCTCACCCCGGAGCACAAAAACAAACCTACTTTTGGTTTACTGGCCTCACTATCTCTCTGTGTCCTCCTTACTGCTCCGACCCTTTCAGCAGGGGGCAGGGAAATGCTGATTCTCATGAGCACCCAAGAAGGAAGCATTGTGTGTCACTGACCAGACAAGGAAACTGAAACTCAAGGACTTAGTTCTATTCTTCCTGTCTGCCTGACAATTTGCAGGCTGGGAGCTAGCTGTGGTCCATCAGCTTTCTGGTTCTGCCTTGAAGGGAAAAGGACTCAAGGAGCAGAGATTCTGGCTTCTCTCATTCTCATGGCCTGTTTGTGACCTTGTCACTTTTCTTGCTCAATGAAGATGAAAGAAAAAGCCATTCAGTGTATTTTGAGAAACTTCTACCCCCAAGCAAAGAGGGTGAGGGAAGATGGATGGTGAAAGGGGAAATGAGTTACGCAAAAAAAAAAAAAAAAAAAAAAAAAAAAAAGACTTATTCTGGATATTCTGTAAATTAAATCTTCCTGATCTTACATTTTATCGTTCTGAGTGTTTGGAATAGAGAAAAAAAAAAAAAAAAAAAAAATCAATCAATTCACAGTGATGCTTTCCAAACAAGCAGACACCTCCCTTCTCAAGCCCTCTGCACTGTAAGCAGATTTCAGCTTATCTTCCCAGAACCTCCCGACCTTCCTCCACTCACCGGAAAAGACGCCCAGATGCACAGGGTCGCTGAGGCTGGTCTGACCCGTCTGACACCTGTAGTCTCCACTGTCAGTGTTTCTGGCATTGAAGCTGTAGCGCCGCTGCACCTGGGTGGGTATGGAGCTCCCATTGTGGAACCACTGGATGGAGTGGTCCCCAGGGGTGCTGGCCCCATGGCACTTGAGAGTCACAGCATCCTCCCGAATCACATTGATCCAAGGGGGCTCAAGGCTCACCACAGCCTTGGGGAGATCTGCTGAGGGTCAGAGAGCAGGCAGCATGAGGAAAGGGGTCCTGAGACCCTGAGCAGACACTAAGTCTCAGACAAGGGGGCTCCTGCAGTCCTGTTGGAGACAGTTCTGGGCCCGGAACTGCTGGGCAACCTCAGACAATTATTCAAATGTTTCACCTGAAGAGCAGAGGTTGCAGGGCCTTCAGGGAGTGTGAGGGAGAGGTAAGAGAACATGAGAGAGCTCTTTTTCTTTCTCCCATTCCTAATAAACCTGTCCTTTTAACATGTAAAAAAGAGAGAGAGAGAAAACAAGAGAAGGGGAAAGGGAGAAAGGGAGATATTCTAGAAATGTATGAGGACAAAAGATGTTCCCATTGCTCCAATAGCTTAGGGAATTGCAAGATCCTGGAGCTGGATGAAGAAAAAATTATTGACAGCATGAAAAATATATTTTGGTTATCTGAACCACCAAACACAAACATACACACACACACACACATGCTATACATCACCATACTGCACGTATGTACACAGTGTACACGTGTGTACCCTTTCAGGACTCTTTCCTCCCTTGCAAATAAAGGATTTGAACATTAGCAAACAAGCTCTCTCCAGAGATGGTGAAGACAAGTGAGAGCCTCTGGTGCAGGTGGCAGGCCAGGGGGTCAGATGTCAGGCTTCTGTTCTGACTGGAGGTCATGCTTTCTCCATTAGAAAAGGGGCCTGGATGACCCTCACATCTGAAGCTCCTTTCTCTAGGATTAGTATGGAGTTTCAATACAGGGTTGATTCAATCATTCCTCACTGGCAACTGAACTCCACCTTCAACTCTTTCCCCTCCCAGGAAAAAAAAGGGAGGAAAGGACCAATCTCTGTTGCTCAGTTCTTTGAGTTCTCTATAGAGAAATGCCCAGCTCACACCAAGAAGCAACCAGCAGCATCTCCTCCTGTTTCTGTCCCAGGGATAGCCCTGCCGATATATGCAAAGTGGAATACTTACAAGAAATGAGGACAACCTGAACAGGTCGTGATTTTGCATGTGGCTGAAACTAAGATGGCCTAGGCTCTTGATTTGATTTGGAGAGAGGAAGGTGACTGAGAAAAAGGACAGTTATATGATATATGAGTGGTTGTCCCTGAGAGGCTCAGTGAAGTTAAGGCAGAATTGCCCCATGGGTACCCTGAGAGTGGGAGAGGGGCAGGGCACTCCTTAGCACTGGGTTGATGGTACTTTCAGATCACCCCTGGGCTTCTGGGGAGAGAGAAGGGCAGTAACAGAGAGCCCCTGGGGGAGGGAGATCAGATGGACAGAATGCTTACCGCGTGTCCCCACGGCAGGAGCTGTAAGAGAGAAAGCAGCCATCAGCAGTTCATATCTCATGATTCACCATGGGCAACAGTCACGTCTTTGCTAAGTCCCTTACTCCCTTGTCCTTCTGTTTCTATGAAATTCACCTCGGGCCCATGCCTTTTCTTGTTCTCCTGTGTGTTGCTGAATTACCACGCATGCAGGCAGACTGATATCTCTGTAAATGGACCTCCACATGATTTACCATATTCTAAACAGTGATTCTAGACTTTCTGGTAAATTGGTCTGTTTCTCTTAGTAGTGACTCTCATCTCTCCTTACTTGCCAAACTTTCCTGGCCTCTGCTCCAACGTAAGGCCCATGCTTTCTCATACTTCACATGGAAAACAAAGCAGTTAAGCAGATCAAATATGTCTCCCTCCCATACACACTCTGACTATTCCTTCTGCCCTTCTCTTAATCCTATTCCCTGCCTCCCTTGGCCAGTGCCTTCCAGCCTCTCCCGGAATTCCCTCTCTGGTATCCCTTTGCCCTTCTGTGCCATCAATTTCTTCTTCTCAGCTGGATCTTTCCATCAACATAAATGTAGTCCAAGATCTTTCATTAAAAAAATAAAACTTGCCCTTTACCCTCATATAATTCCAGAAGATTTTCTCTGCTTTCTCATTTTTTTCCTCCCATAGGCTACCTTTGTGTCTTCTCCTTTCACTACTTAATTCTCTGCAACCTGGACTCTGTCTTCATCCATCCACTAAAACATTTCTTGTCAAAATCACAGTGACCCCTGTGTTGTCAAATCAAATGGACACATCCTGTTTCTCGCCCAGTCATCCCACTATAAATGTACAATCTCTACTTTCTGCCCAATAACTCATGTCTGAAACAGGCATTTCCCCCCCTGCCCCCAGCCTCACCACCTCCCCACAACCATATACAGTGTTTCTGCTTCCATCTTAGTTCCAGAACCCATCAACTGCTCTCCCTCTCCATGGGCTCCATTCTGGTTTAGAGTCCTACCAGCTTCTACCCATCTTCTCACTTGTCTCTTTGCTTCTTTTGCCCTCCCTACCAATCCTTTTCCATAGAAAACCTAGTTATTTTTTAAAAAATCTAATCAATAAGCCTACTCCCCTGCTTATATTCCTTCAATTACCTTCCTTTGTTCTTAAAATCAAAGGTAAATAGTCTACAAAGCCTCAGCTGACCCCTCTGTACCCACCAACCTCCTCCGAAGCTCCAGTAACATCAGCCCTTTGTAATTCTCCACATTTGGGGATTTTGCTTACAGCATCCCTGCACTGTCAATATGCTCCATTATCTTCAAACAACTAAATCCTTATCATGCTTAAGGTCTTAGCTTAAACATCATGTCCTTAGAAAACACTTTAAAAAATTTTAAAAATATATATTTATATGTATGTATGCATGAGTATGTATATTGTTGTTCATTGTACAGTGTTTGATTTCTCCTCTCAGGATTTAGGTGTGGTATAGGGCCCTCCCTGGTGGTACACAGGGTTGAAGTGCAGCACTACAAAGCTAGCCACATCCTCTTTATCTCAAGTTCTATCCTTGGCCAGGAGGTGACATGTATGGTGTGGCAGACCTCTCCTGTCTTGCCCACTGCTCCCCTCAGCAGTGTACTTCGTCAATCTGCCTGGTCTATTCCTCACTCCTCTGTCTCTGATGAATCTCACTGCCCCTGTACCCCAGTTCTGTGTATATATATATATATATATATATATATATATGGAATGGAATAAAAAAAGATAAATTCATGCCATTTGCAGCAACATGAAATGCAGCAAATGAAAAACATTTTCACCACTACTTTGTAGTTTTTCTCTGAAGAGAACTTGACTTGTGATCAGATGTGGATCTGATGTTAAGCGGGAGCACAGGGAAGGCTGGCTGTGCTAACAAATATAATGTAGAAGGAGACATTTTTTTTGCTAAGAACAAAAGTGCAACCAGCGCTACAAAGAGGAAACAGTACTTGACACAAGCAAGAGAGGACTGAGAGTTACATCAGGAGCGAAAGCTCAAAACCTGAGTGCGTAGGGTTAAGGGACACAGAGCGCTGGGGGACCAGCTAACCGAGTAGCTTCTCAGAGGAGGAGAATCTGAAACAAAATAAGGAAAGTCACTGATCTAAATGTGCTGGCAAGGGAAGAATGAAAAACATGGAGTCGTTCATTGGCAAATTAGCAATTTGCCAATAGAAAACCCCAAAGTTTCTCCCAGGGGTCTTGTCCAGTGATTGGCCACATCAGCAGAGAGGGGTGCTCATCACCTGTCTAGACCTAAGCTTCCCCACTTGGAAAGGAGGCAGTTTGGGGGAAATACTCTTGCTCTACCTCTCCTATAGAATCACCCCACATTGAGGGCCCAGGGTTGTTCAGACTTCACCAGCAGCCTGGGCACTTCACCTGGAGAGCAGCTGCAGTCTGATCAGAGAGCATGGCTTTGCACTGTGTACGTCTAAGGTTTGTCTGTAAGAATGGACATCATTGGTGGAGGTGAGGGTGCAAGCCCCAGGAACTGGGATGGGGAGACGCTCCTGCCTGGACCCTTCTGCCTACCCAGCGCCACAGTCAGAGCCCTGGCTGAGCTGAAACTGACCAGAAAACGCACTCTGTGGCACTCTGTTGAGCACCCTGCCTTGCTCCCTGATCAGAGCCAGGACCCCAGATCTGTGCAGAACAAGGAGTGACTCCTTGGCCCCCACCAGGACCCCAGGCTCTGTATTCTCTGCAGCCCTGGCCCGTGGGTGGATTCTCATCGTGGCCACCAGACCCTCTGTGTTTCTTGCCTGGGGCTCTCCTTATGCATGAAGACAAAAGGCTTTTGTGTGAAGAGGTATGAGGGCCCAGAGAGTGGTGTCTACCTCTCTTGAAAGTGTAGACACCACATATTTCTGCCTTCTCCCTTTTTAACATAGCACCAGGCTTTCCCTCTAGACTGGCCCTGCAAACTGTACATTTCTAAGGGGAAAACACCTGCTTGTTCTTTAGTCACTGAAGGTTTAACTTAGCAGACTTTCCTTGGGGTGGGTTCTGATGTGGGATGGGATGTGGGGGGCTGGGGGTAACAGAGCATCAGGAACCTGCATGCCCCAAGAGAGTGAGTAAAAGATACTTAGGAAAAATAACCAAAAGTCAGCGATGTTGTATGTTACCAAAGGCAGCAGCGTTTGCAGTTTGGGTGTCATCAGCGAACTTTACCTCCTGATTCTCCTCAGAGGAGAATCACCCCCTTGCCCAAGCTTGCCCCAGTCAAGGTAAAGGCAAGGAAGCCTGGAAAGCTGTTCCTTGAGTTCCTACTCGTCTCTCCCTCCCAGGGACCCCGACTCACCCAGGAAGAGCAGAGCTGTCCACAGTAGCATGTGGCCCAAAGAAGGGCGAAGTCTGTAGTCCACAGCAGGGTGGGACAGGAATAAGGAACCCCTCATCACCCCTGAGCAGGTTCACGCCCACAGCACCTGCACTGAAGACACTAGCTTCTCTCGAGGTTTGAGAGATTGTACCACACAGGACATCAAACTCCGGAGTTCAAAAGAGGAAGTGAGAACTTTGGTTTATCACCAGCTCCTCCCTTCTCTCTGGTTCCTTGCAAACTGAACAGAAGGTTCAGAGCTTCCCAGAAGGAATGTGACTCAGGCCAGCTCCAATACACAGAGATTTTAGAGCCTGGGAAATAGTGTGCTCTGGCCTCGCGGGGACGGAACCTCTGTGGGGAAGCTGGAGGTGGGTGCTGTCACCCAGTCCCAACTCGGCACCGCTCATCTATCCCTAACTCTGAAGAAGGGGGTGGGAGAGGGGTGCAGGCAGACTTTCTCCAGTTCCATTTGGAGGCTCAGACTCTGGGTCTTGAGGCCACCCACCATCATTTGATTTTCTTGATCATCATAATCCTGGACTCACATCTGGATTGTGGAACAAGGACACAGAGCTATCAGGCTGATTATGGAATGATCACATGATCACACTTGTCCTCATTATCACCCTCCCTCAGTCATCCTTTTACTCACCCATTCATTCAACAGACTTCCTTAGAACACTGATCATTGCCTTGGTTCTTTATTTTTGCAACCCTCATCCTCATTACTGTCAAATTCACTGCAGTCTGGTCAGAGAGCATGGCTTTGGCACTGTGTAAGTCTAGGTTTGTCTGTAAGAATGGACATCATTGGGACCTCCCTGGTGGCACAGGGGTTAAAGCACAGCACTATGAAGCTATCTACAGCCACTGCAGCACCAGTTCAATCCCTGGCCAGGAGCTGACCCACATGGAGTGGCAGGAGCTGACTCTCCTGTCTGCCAGCTGCTCCCCTCAACAGTATATTTCAGTACATCTGCCTGTTCTGCTCCCCACTCTGTCTCTGGTGGATCCTCTCACCCACCACACCTCAGGCCTGTACCCCAGGTCTTATATGTATAAATAAATAAATCTGTAAAAAAAAAAAAAAGAGAGAGAATGGACATTGTGCCTGCTCTTCCTGTGCAGGCCTCAGCACCGGAGACCAGTGACTGTCCTGTGGGAACTGCCTCTACATTGCAGGATGTCTAGCACATCCCTGGCCTCTACTTTCTAGATGCCTGTGACACCCCATGACCACATAACAATAAAAAATCTCTAGATATCGGCCCTCCCTGGTGGCGCAGTGGGTTAAAGCACAGCACTGAGAATCTAAAGCCACTTCCTCATGAGTTCGATTCCCGCCTGCCCCGGAGGCGACCACATGGCGTGGCAGACCTCTTCCTGACCCGCCCGCTGCTCCCCTCAGCAGTGTACTTCGTCGATCTGCCTGTTCTGCTCCCCGCTCTGTCTCTGGTGAATTCTCTCACCCTCTGCACCTCTGGCCTGTACCCCAGTTCTGTACAAATAAAGAAATAAATCTTTTAAAAAAAAATTAAAAAAAAAATCTCTAGATATTGATAACTGTTTCATCTCAGATAAAATTGCCCCAAATTGAGACCCACGGCATTTAAGGATTGAGGAAAATAAAAGAATTTGTATGGTGGCAATGCACCTTCTGCATCAGGGTATCCAGGGAATGTTTGCTTCCTTTTCTGGATTGCTGTCATCCTCCTCCTTATCTTCTAAGTCCCCCCTAAACATGAGATGCTCCAGGAGCCCTCTTAGGACTTTTGTTTTCTCAAGTGCCCTTGTTGTGCAACCATCCCTGGCGGGGCAGGTTCATGGTTGAATCAGACAAATAGAAAAAGAATCTTGGAGTCTTAGGTACATCTGATACACTTTTATTGATGAAGCAGGGGCTGGATACACAGAGAGGTCAGCCAGCAAGGAGGCAGGGAGACCGGGAGGCAGGCAGGGAGGTTGGGAGGCTGGGAGATAGGCTGGGAGGCAGGCAGGGAGGCAGGAGGCTGGCAGCAGGTGAGCCTCCTACCCTGCCCCACCTCTGCATCTCCACCTCCTGCTTCTCTGCCCCCATCCTTACACCCCTACCTGCTTTTTGTGGTAACATGTTTTCACCTGTGGGCAATAAAACCTGAGGAAAACAAAATTGCAGGTGGAAATCACAGAGGTTTGTGGCAGGAAGGCAAAAAAAAGCCTGAGTGACTCCATGTTCCTCACAGCCCTCTAGAGAAACAAGTTGTAAAACTGGAGGAAGTGACATTGTCAGACTTATTCTATACTCTGTGGGCCTGAGAAACCTCAAGTTTCCAAACTTGGCCCACTGTCCTTGCTACTGATCATTCTATTACTGCCATTCCTCCCCTTACACACAAACACAGTCAGCATGATTTGTCTTTCAGGTGAGAAACATTGTTTAACTAGTGATAAAATGTCAATGAGCTGACATCAGCCCTTTCAAAATATCATTATTAACAAAAGCATAAAGAAATATATAGTTAACACATTAAGAGACCAAAATTAATAGACACTATATGAGCACATAAGTTTTTTCTATTTATTTCTTTTAATTTTTTTATAATATAATAGTTTATTTTTACATCATTTTGTACTTTTTTTTTTTTCATCTCAATTGTAATCCCCATGGGTTTCCCATCACCGAGTGAGCATATAAATTCTTACTGTAGAGGAATAATCTACTGTCATCCCTAATATTTCCAATAATCTCAGAAGGAAAAATTATAACACTTGCACACAGTGAAATTGCTAAAATATAAATGGTGGCATAATAAAAATTTAGAACTTAAGAAAAAGTCAAATTGGCCCACAAATATCCCTGATAGTGCAGAGGTTAAAGTCTCAGCTCTGGGGACCTCCCTGGGGTGCAACTGGTCAAAGCACAGCACTATGAAGCTCTCCGAAGCCACTGAAGCACGAGTTCAATCCCCAGGCAGGGAGGTGACTCACCTGGCACGGCAGACCTCTCCTGACCTGTCCGCTGCGCCCCTCAGCAGTGGACTTCCTCGATCTGCCTGTTCCGCTCCCCACTCTGTCTCTGGAGAATCCTTTCGACCCCATACCTCTGGCCTTACCCCAGTTCTTGTATACAAGATAAATAAATCTTTATAAAATAAAACAAAGTCAAGTCTCAGCTCTATCAAGCCATTGTCAGCCCGTTCCCAGCCAGGGGGGTGACCCACATGGCACAGCAGAGCTCTCCTGTTTCACCTGCTGCTCCCCTCAGCAGTGTATCTCAGTAGATGCACCTGTTCTGCTCCCTACTCTGTTACCAGAGAGACACCACTTTCACCACTCTGTCCTCTCACCCCCTGCACCTCTGGCTTACACCCCAGTTCTTGTATGCATAAATGAATAAAAAGAAATCTCTTTTAAAAAGAGAAAGTCAGCTTGAATTGGGGAGTACCAACCAAAAGTGGCTAGGAACACTCCACCAGTAGGAAAGGCTTTTATAGGGAAAAGGTGGAAGCAAAGCAGAGAAGTTATTTGATTGGTTACGGCTGGAGTGTTTGCACTATTTGGCAACACCTCCTCTCAGCTGATTGCTTGTTCTTAGGTTTTGACTGAACCTTTGAGGAAATTGCTGGGGGTTGGTTTACTCACATAGGTATTAGAACCACCACAGTCTATTGGCCTTCTTTCATTAATTTAACACCTAATTTTAGAGACATTAAAATGAGTTGTCTGATGCCACGTGGTAAGTGGTGCATTGGCATTTGAGACCAGGTCTGGTGATGTGAGGCCTTGATGTTTTCTACAGTAGTGCTTCCCCAAAGGTGTTCAAGAAGCCCCCACCCCAATGATGTGCAAGGACCCCACAATGGTGTGTGAGGTTCCCCAGTGTGTGTGAGGACCCCAACCTGACTTACGTGAATTCCAGGAGGGCTAAACCCCTGGGGTGGCCAGATGGGTCAGCAGCCTCAAGTGCTTATACTATTAGAGCGCAGAGTGAGGGCAAATGTAGGCCCTCCAGACCCGCCTGCTCTAAATGGATTCAAGACAAACACCCTCTAGTGCAGAAGACCTTCACTGCAAAGGAAATTTAATACTTCAGTGTGTGATAAAGAAAGAAAAACAACACTTCAAAAGTTCCCAAATGGAGCACCCAAAGCTACCCACTTCCTCATGCGGGAAAGCCAGTCTTTTCACACCCACTGATGACCCAGGAGCCAGAGAAAGAAGTGTTAACAATGGGCAAACAGTCTTTGCACCTCTGCAGTAGATTCTTTAGAAGGGAAAAAAGTAAATCCTGCCTCGCCTTCCTGTAGCATCAGTAACTTTAGGTTGAAAGAAGTTAGAACTGGCCCTCCCTGGTGGCAAAGTGGGTTAAAGCACAGCACAGCCAGCTGGCTGCTGCCACTTCAGTGGGAGTTTGATCCCTAGCCTGGAGGTGACCACATGGCGTGGCAGACCTCTCCTGACCCACCCACTGCTCCCCTCAGCAGTGCACTTCCTCCATCTGTCTGTTCTGCTCCCTACTCTGACTCTGGTGAAGCCTCTCATCGCCCCTGCACCTCTGGCCTGTACCCCCAGTTCTGTATGCACCAATAAATAAATCTTTAAAAAAAAAAAGTTAGAACTAGAAGCCGCTGCTATGAAGAGTAATTCTATTCTTAGTGCCTGTGACTTGGCTCCTCCCCATATAAACTAAACTCAAAATTCAGCTCCCACAGAGTAGAATTTGTCCAACTTCTTCCCAGGTTCAAATCTTCACTTTGATTAGCTAATAAACACTTTGGCTAACTATCATTGAGACTTTACCACCAGCTAAGAGTTTCTCATAATCCTGTTGTAAAGATTAAGTGAGAAATTCACAAATGATGCTTAACACAGAGTGTGACATTTAGTCTTTATCATCATTGTCATAATGAGAGCGATGTCCACTATTAGAGGGGACTGTGGCTCTGGACCCACCTAAGGAAGATCAGATGACTGCTAAAAGCCTCAAATGCCTCCAATTCTAGACACTTTCAGATTCTTGCTTCTTGATGTCAAAAATGTTCTTGTTAGTGTGCAACTGGCGGGTACCCAGAGACCCCCAAACTTGCAAATGCTACAAAGGACCAGCTATCTGTGCACATAAAGCATGTTTTTAGTTTGAAAGAATTGTAATGGAATTAGTATGCAAAAAGACA